AATCACAGCAAGATCTTTTTTGACCCACCTCCTAGAGTAATGGAAATAAAAACGAAAATTAAAAAATGGGCCTAATGAAACGTAAAAGTTTTTGCACAGCAAAGGCAACTGTATACAAGATGAAAAGACAACCCTCAGTATAGGAGAAAATATTTGCAAAGGAATGAATGGACAAAGGATTAATCTCCAAATATATAAACAGCTCATGCAGCTCAATATTAAAACAAACAACCCAATCAAAAAATGGGCAGAAGAAGACCTAAATAGACATTTCTCCAAAGAAGACATACAAATGGCCAAGAGGCACATGAAAAGCTGCTCAACATCACTTATTATTAGAGAAATGCAAATCAAAACTACAATGAGGTATCACCTCACACCAATTAGAATGTGCATCATCAGAAAATCTACAAACAACAAATGCTGGAGAGGGTGTGGAGAAAAGGGAACCCTCTTGCACTGTTGGTGGGAATGTAAATTGATACAGCCACTATGGAGAACAGTATGGAGGTTCCTTAAAAAACTAAAAATAGAATTACCATATGACCCAGCAATCCCACTACTAGGCATATACCCAGAGAAAACCATAATTCAAAAAGACACATGCACCCCAATGTTCACTGAAGCACTACTTACAAGAGCCAGGTCATGGAAGCAACCTAAGTGTCCATCAACAGACGAATGGATAAAGAAGATGTGGTACATATATACAATGGAATATTACTCAGCCATAAAAAGGAACGAAATTGGGTAATTTGTAGAGACATGGATGGATCTAGAGACTGTCATACAGGGTGAAGTAAGTCAGAAAGAGAAAAACAAATATTGTATATTAACACATATATGTGGAATCTAGAAAAATGGTACAGATGAACCGGTTTGCAAGGTAGAAATAGAGACACAGATGTAGAGGACAAACGTACGAACATCAAGGGGGGAAAGCGGCGGGGTGGTGGTGGTGGTGGTGGTGGTGTGATGAATTGGGAGATTGGGATTGACATGTAGACACTGATGTGTATAAAATTGATGACTAATAAGAACCTGCTGTATAAAAAAAATAAAAATCTAGAGGGGCTACATCCAAGGTTCTGAAAGAAACTGGGGATGTGCTTCTCTGACTTCTTCCAAGTACGCAGTCTGATTCACGTGCTGGAGATTGGTTTGTCACCCATGCTAGAGACCAACACCCATCCTCTTCTACTAAGTGGGTTTTCAGATCCTTAAAGAAAAAGGCCGCAGAATATATTACATTATATTCACACAGAAAATATAAGTAAAGCCAAGCCAAATGAATCAGCTTTTTCTAAAACCTCAACTCCAAAAACTCTTTCTTCACAGGAGTTAATATTTCACTTCATGTTGCCAAAAAAAACCAAACTTTCAGCAATGGTATCAGAGAGACTTGGTGTTGGGAAATACTTTCACTGAGGCTGAAGTCTGATCTGGTAGACTCTATTCTCATGTTAACTTCCCCCTTCCATTCCAAGAAACTCATTTGAACATATTTATCACTACAGGGTAGAAACAGTTTGTAAATCCAGGTTAGCTGTTTCTAACATATGCCAGCAGTATTCAAACACAGTTTCAGATGATAGAGTAACTGCCTGGAAACTATTTGGATTATTTTAACATAACTGAACTAAGAGAATCCACGTTACACTTTGGGTGCTTGTTCCTGCAATAAGTAAATGTAACAACTGCTATTTATTAGCTTCTACATAATGCTGGAGTTGTGATGGGCTTCCCTAACTTTTAATCATAAGAGCCCTCAACCAGCTAAGGTCTTTTGCTAACTGTTGATGGTTAGACTTCAAGCTTTGGTAGTGGGTGTATTCTTTTAACCTCAGAAGGGGAGGAGAAAGATGGTAGTTTTGTAAGCTTGGATAGACACTCTAAGCCACAGCTTTGACACACAAGTAAAAGCATGATGCCTATTTAGTTCTAGGGTAACATAGGTGAGCAGATAAGATGTGCATATCTACAGGTGAACTTTTAAAACATATCACCATTTGCATCCCACACACTTTAATCACTGTCTCCCATATTGTTCTAGAACTGTACTGTTCAATATGGTAGCCACTTGTTGCTCTTGAGCACTTGGAATGTGCCTTGTCCAAAATGAAACATACTATACGTGTAAAATACCAGATTTTGAAGGCTCAATATGAAAAAAGAACAATGTAAATATCTCATTAATAATTTCTATATTGATCGTGCTAAAATATTTTTACTTTATTGGGTTAAATAAATGTATTAAAATTTTAAAAAATATCATGAAAACATCTTAGAATGGAGAAATTAATCATGAGTACAAAATTACTAATGGTTCCATGGGATGCCTCGAACCTTCTGTGCAAATAGCACAAATTACTGATTCTTACCTTCATAATGTAGTGACACCTGATTTTTTTTTTTTTACTAAGTTCGAGTCTTCTCTGCAAACTGTTACATATTTTTAAATTTAACATAAATTAGAATAAATTTTGATAAGCTAATTTTTAAGCATATCACCAAATCTAGATGCCTAGTTTATTGCAAAGAATACTAATACTTATTGATCACCTATATGTGTCAGAGCCTCTAAAAGATGACTTCACAGTGTCTAATTTAACCCCCAAAGCAAGCCTACAGGGCAGATTTTACTATTCTAAATCTGAGTCTCAGAGACATTAAGTGACTTGCAATTGGTTCTTGGTTACCCTACTAGCATATGGCAGAGTGGCTATCCCTAGCCCAGGCTGGTATCAATGCCCACACTTTGCTGTTACCCACTATGCCTCTCTTGCAGCTGGGTTAAAAATCCCTGGTACAGACTATACAGGTTCCAAAATCATATACAGTAATGTTATACCAGAAACTTCAAAGAAAATGTTTAGAATGTACTTCTCAAGGGAGGCAGAGGTAACTTCCATTGGGATAGGCTGGAATAAGATTTTTGCCTCCAGATGAAATAATCACCAGTATAAAGGCGATCAAAATACCACGAATAAAACATCATCGAATTCCATATTTTAAATTTAGTAGCCATTATTGACCTTCAGTTCCAAGACATACATTTAAAATATGTTGATATTAAGGCCAATGATGTTGCCATTTGACATTACTGGCCATTCAAAGGTGAAAATGAATCTTTATTGACAGCAGTTATTCCTGAATTCTCAGAGGCTTGTATGAAATAAAAGTATTGAAAATTTTTAAAGGAGATGATTTCAGAACTTGAGGCAGAAGCAGAAATGATTTCAAGCTTTCAAGATATCGGGGCCTTTTTTTAGATTATGCAATATATTAATACTGCTTCACTAAAGATTAATAGTACATTTGCCACATTATTAAGTTAACAGGTTTCTGTGTCTGTGATTCATGCCGATAATAACTTTATTCCTGTTAACAATAATTCTCACTTGAAATCAGTAACAGAAACTTTCAAGTTGTGCTGAGATCCTTTCAGTCTTAGAGTAGTTCTGCTGCCAGCACTATTTTAAAAACCATCATTCATTTGCCTCTGACTGGGGATACATGCTTAATATTTTGATTGAACTAGGGCAGAACTAGCTAATACTCCCTTCCCTCTTGCCATCTGTACCCAACCAAAACAATCCTGTTTACAGTCCCAAGGGTCAAATTAAAGATTGGAAGATAAATTATCACCAGGACATATTTTATACAGATAGAAAGAATCTCAGTGAAAATGTGGTCCATTCCTGGATTTAGGCAGTTAACAGCAATAGGCTCATTTTACAACTGGTGGGCTGGTTAGCAGCTGTACTGACTTATGACTCTGCTTCTCCTTATACCTTCTCGAATTGCACAACTGATAATAGAGAAGGAGTTAGTGAAGGTTTCAAACAAGAAGCTGTCATCTGGGTGTTTGAGCCGGGTTGCTCTCCCAGGATGGAGGTAAGGCAGGACTCCTAATGTAGTTCACACACTGTAAGAAAAAATGGAGAATCCACTCCTCAAGGACAAGACTTGGGTTGACTTTCTCGCCAAGCCACTCAGTAGCTTTGTGTGCCTCTGGGAATGAAAGAAATACTCTGTGCTACTAATGATAATGACAAAGATGTGATTATTGCAACACAGCTCATGAACTATAAAAGTGAGGAGATGCCCCTTTTCCTGTGACATTGTACTTTAGTTCTGATGTTGTGACCTAATGAGAGGTTAGGAATACTTGAAGAGACTCCAAGTTAATGTTAGAGTTTTAGTTAGTATTAGGTTTTTTTAAAAAAATGAAGAAATTCTAACACTACCTTGACGGTTTCCAGCGAGGTAGAGGTGTTGTTAGTGTTTTGTTTTTGTTTTCATTTCTGCTACTTTATTGTGCAACTTTTTTCTTGGAGTTCCCTTTTTGGTCCTCTAGTGCCACACAATTAGTTTAAAAGGAGAATATAGACACAAGTATGTTTTCTCTCCCTTTTCTCGTTTTACTTGGCTTATGTTAAAAACAAGGCCAATCCAGGTAGCCTATAAAGACAGCCTACAACAAGTAATATGTTTCCTCACTGGGTCCCCTCTTAGGGAAAAATCATTCTTACCTATTTCGCCATCAAACTCGATGGTATTTAAAGGATCTAGCCTAGCCCCAAACTATTTTTTAATCCAGGTGAAAATGAAAGTCTTAATACTTTCTACTGGCTTTTGCTTTATTGTTGGGAAAAACAAAAAGCTTATTTGCTTATATGCAAAATTTATTACTTGATTTCTTATGTGTCATCCCAAGCACAAAATTAGGGTCACTTTTACTTTTCCAAGGAAAATTAAGAAGATAGACTAGATGACAAAATATTCGTCCATAAAGAATCAGTAGAATTGTCAATAGACTAGACACAGTTCCTACTCTCCTTTGTCAGTTCATAATCATGACCTTGGAGACCCGGGGAACATCCAGCTCATCTGTTACAGAGTACTGGCAAGGGACAAGAAATCTGCCACAGGACACTTCCTCCAAAGTTACTTTAACCACTGTCTTACTGAATGGCTCTTTCCCCCTTCAAATACAGATTCCTTCAGGATATTATCTGCAGACCATGAATTCCAACCTGAATTTGGGTGGATTTCTCCTGCCAGTTGCAGTAATGAATGTCGTCAGCATCCTACCACTACTACTTTTAGCTCCTTTAATGGAGTATTTCAGCACCTGCCTATTTCCCTCTAAGAGAGATGGCCCATTTCTGTTGGCATGCATTAGTAAGTACAACTTACCATTTCAAGTGAATGGTTTACAACTTTTAAAATAAAAAAACACTGTGCTAGGATCTAAGCTAGCTATATGCTCTGGAGTAGTCTGATTTTGACAAATTGGGAAGAAGGTGAATTTGAGAGTGATTATGTCCAGCTTCTCAAATCTCTACATAGACATCAGTGTCCCATTTTCTTTTCATCCTTTTATGCTTCCTCAGAAGACACACATAAAGACTTGGTGCAACTTCCAATGCCACCAAATGGCCTCTTCTTCTTGAAGTAAAGCAGTCTCTAATCTTAAGTCGATGCTGAGAATGTTCTTAAAAATTAACACAGGTAATGGACCTAAAAAATAATGCTGAGCTACATTTGGGAGGCTTTAACTTCTGAACCAGCAGAAAAATTTATTAAAAGTTAGTCGTATTCACAGCTTTAATATAGTACTTATTCCAATAGTAAAGTGTAAAACACTAATTTTCAAACATTTTTTCCAGCTTTATTGAGATATAATTGACATACTTTATAAGTTTAAGGTGCACAGTGTCATGAATTGATGCAAGTCTATACTGCAAAATATTTATCACAATAAGGTTAGTTAACACATCCATTACCTCAAATAATTACAGCCTTGCTGTTGTTATGGTCCACTCCTATTTTTAAAAATTATTTTATTTTATTTTATTTATTTTTGGCTACATTGGGTTTTCATTGCTGCGCGTGGGCTTTCTCTAGTTGCAGCGAGCGGGGGCTACTCTTCGTTGCTGTACGCGGGCTTCTCGTTGCGGTGGCTTCTCTTGTTGTGGAGCACGGGCTCTAGGAGCGCGGGCCTCAGTAGTTGTGGCACATGGGCTTCGTTGCTCCGCAGCACGCGGGATCTTCCTGGACCAGGGATCAAACCCGTGTCCCCTGCATTGGCAGGCGGATTCTTTGGTCTACTCCCATTTTTTTAAGTGAAAAAAAATGTAGGACTTCTTACTCAGAACACAACCAATAGACTGTAAAATAAAATTTCTGCCAATGAAATGGGAGAGGAGGAGCATTCTGGTCACACTCTCCTCTGCCTCGCTGTGGTCCCTCAGGTGCTGCCGTGGAACAAGACGACAAACGATGGTACAGGAAAACCAGGCTCAATCTAACGACCAGAAATGGAGGTCTCAGCCCCTGCTCTGCTACTGAGCTGCTCCTGAGTGAATTGGAAAAGCCACTTAACCTTTCTTGTCTTCTAGTTCACTTATTTTTTTTATTGAGGGGCATGCCTGAGATAAATATTGGGTCCCTTTGTTCTGTAAGACTTTTGAAATCATTCAGGGTGACATCAGTACCTGGAGCCCAATTGGGACACAGAGTGAAAGCTCTATAAATGTTAACTAATATTGAGTCATCATTTGCAAGGGGCAGGTCTCATTGTTTGGTGAGTATAAACACAAAACAAAGGGAGTTTGAAACGCTTAAGAAATAGCATGGGGCTTCCCTGGTGGCGCAGTGGTTGAGAGTCCGCCTGCCGATGCAGGGGACACGGGTTCGTGCCCCGGTCCGGGAAGATCCCACATGCCGCGGAGCGGCTGGGCCAGTGAGCCATGGCCGCTGAGCCTGCGCGTCCGGAGCCTGTGCTCCGCAACAGGAGAGGCCACAACAGTGAGAGGCCCGCGTACCGAAAAAAAAAAAAAAAGAAATAGCATGCAATGGCAACTTTATGTCTTATCATCTACTTGAGAAATAACTTCATTGAAATAGCCAAGGTCAAGCAACTGATTCTTTTCTCTTGGCTAACCAGTTGTTCTTCTTAGTTCCTCCTTTGTAGAGATCTGTGAAGACCAAGCAGTCTTCTAGTAACCCATTATTATGTATTTTGCCGTTCCTCTGTTTATAAATTAAATTTTAGGGTATGTGCCTCCTATTTACCAAAGCCATCAACAAGATCACATCACAAAGTAGATTTGTTTTTGGAAAGAACTCAAGTGACTAAACTCTCCCTAGTTTATTTTATCTTCAACTGTAGAGGTCTTTAGTGCATATTCTGTTTTGATTTATTCCATAAGCCAGTAACCCTGACATTCTTTATTGTCATAGGTTTAGGCAAACTATAAATCTTAATAGGTTTTGACAGTCCTTAAATCTTAAAAAGTGCTTTTTTTTGTCTGCCAGTGAAATCCAAAACAGTATTAGTGAATGCCCAACACTATTTGAGGATACAAAAGAAAAGACATCGTACCTACCCACAGCAAGTGTACTATTAATATATTGAATGCAGAAGAAAATGGGGGTAAATTTACATTGCAAAATACCAGACACTTTGGCAGTCCTTTACAGAATCATGAAAATTGAGTCTATGCTTCCAAATTATGCTTTAGTACTAAAAAATATTTTTAATTGGGCTACTTTAGAGAAATATGGTATACAACATGACTGAAAGAACTACTTTAAAAATCCTTCCTGGGGGCTTCCCTGGTGGCGCAGTGGTTGAGAGTCTGCCTGCCGATGCAGGGGACACGGGTTCGTGCCCCGGTCCGGGAAGATCCCACATGCCGCGGAGCGGCTGGGCCCATGAGCCATGGCCGCTGAGCCTGCGCGTCTGGAGCCTGTGCTCCGCAGGGGGAGAGGCCACAACAGTGAGAGGCCTGTGTAACGCCAAAAAAAAAAAAAATCCTTCCTGGGAATTCCCTGGCAGTTCAGTGGTTAGGACTCCACACTTTCACTGCTGACCAGGCGAGGGCTCAGATTCAATCCCTGGTTGGAGAACTAAGATCCCAAAAGCAATGCTGTGCAGCCAAAAAAAAAAATCCTGAGAATAAGAAATCTTAAATTCACTTGAAATATGAGCAACTTTCTCTTGGACAATTCTCCACTCTTGCATATTTGAAATCATGTCTATTCTTAAAGAAGTGTGTGTGTGATTTTCTGGATAGAGGAAAGTTAGACAAGAGTTATCTAACATATTGTTTGATGTTAATGAACTAAATATTCCCTATGAAGAGTGGTAACAGACTTATTGGGCAGGAAAAAGAAAGAAACTAGATTCATCTAAAAAAACTGAGCTATATTCTTCTGTATACAGAATACTGAATTCAGTTGTTTCTAAGCCAGACTCCATTCATTTGTTCATTTACATACTTGTTCACTTATTTGCATAATATTTTGCTATGGGAATATAAAGAGGTATGCATCTTTTTAACTAAATGTTTGCTTAAGTTTTCCATATTCTGCTTGTGATTATGGAAGATGAATAAGTTTTATCAGGACATATAAACATAAACCTAGGCTACTTTTTGATAGTAATTTACATAACTGAATTAATCTAACATTAAAATTTACTTTCACTTTGAACCCAAGTACCTTGAAAATTGAGTGAAGTATATAAGTATATAAATTATGAACATACAAATATTTATGAATTCCGAATTGGAACCTAGGCACCTTCATATACATACCCCACTTAACTTCACGATAATTCATCATTTACTAGGTCAAGGGTCTCAAAGATAATGTCTTATTTGAATTCAGACCTTCTAATTCTAAGCCCATTGCATCATCACCATCAACATCATCATTATCGTTATTCCACTTACCAGCCATACATAGTTCTTAGATTATAGAAGTTATCAGTGTTAATTTGGAATCCTGACTGCGATTTCCAATTAAGGCTACGAAGTGAATGAAAAATTTTGTCATCACAATGAGTAGTTGCTCCTGGAGTCCCCCACTCCCTTTCACATTCAGTCGTTCCCCATCATGTTTAAGGAGGCAGATGGTATAGACAATGACGATGCCTAGTGTTTGACATGGATAATCACAGCCCCGGCCAAGAGTGAGGGATAGAGAAATCTCATTCAGTTGGTCAAACTAGAAATTTAATAAAGGGAAAAAAATGAGCTCACTTTCCTTCATCTAGCTCATAAACAGTGCAACGAAAAGAGGAGTGTCTTATTCAAGATAGGACATTCTTGAGTTTATCGGCTAAAGAAAACAACAAGTGTACCAAAGTACCAACAATAAAAAAATCTCCAAACCTTCCAGAACTGTGAAAGGCAAAGGTTTGGAACGCTCAGAGTGTTTCATCAAGACTGTATTTTCCTAACGTTACATGTGACAGATTTGTCTGTTTAAAAGTCAATCTTAGTACACTAAAAATCTAGAATCAGTGATATTGCGATTTATCCTCTGTCATCGTTGGATATCCTTTGTTTTAGCCTTTCTCGGTTCAAAAATGTTTACACCATGAGTATCTCCTTTCCTTACCATTAACTAAAGCCCTGCAGTATGTGGCGTTTAGTAGCTAGCGCTGACACACACAAGTATTGATCTGACTAAAATTAGCCTAATTAAGATTGTTATTAAGCCTTATACAAAGCAGACGTGTACAACACAGCAGGTAGCAATTATCTGGGCTTTTAAGTAGCATTGATATTGAAATGCAGATGAAGTATATTCAAATATCTGCCAGACCTTCCTCTTTAAAATAAAACTTGAAAATTCAAATTCTAACTTAAAGTCTTTTATGATATAGGTACAGCCAAGGTGTTGTTTCCTTCTTGTATAACCATTAACTTCTACTAGTCCTAATAATTGGCAGTGATATAAAATTTCTTGTTGGTTGGAATCAAAATGCTTGATAAATTAAAAACCAAGTCAGAGATCCAATCACCTTCATTGAAAGTAGGATTATTTCATCAAAACTACTTTTTCTCTATTATAGTTTTTAGAACTGTGACATTTTTCCAAGAAACATCACAGTGTATACCCATCGCAAAATACCTGGCAAGAGGAAGTATATAAACACTAAAAGAAGTAACATGCAAATATCTAGCCTGAATAACTCGTTCATTCGGTTGTTCACGTGTTTAATAAAAGCACGTTAATGTTCTCAGGTTCTTACTTTTAAAGTTGACATGAACACTGGAATTAAATTTGAGGCGACCATCTAGTAAACCATCTGAAGCAATAATTTATACCTTACAGATACACTTGTATAACTGATCTCCATGTAAATGAGTTACCTGTTCCAGGTTCAGAAGGTTAAACGCAAACTGAAGCCGAATCTCCTGAAATGAGTTTCGAGTGGTCTAAAGAGAAACGAAAGACAGAATATGGATAGCTCAATTCAAATACAGGAACATACCACTAGTAGGAGAAACAATAAAGCCAAAAACGTATGCCATTCTAATAGTGGGTGAGAAGGATCTTCCACAAAGGCAGCAGACGTGTATGATGATAAAATCACAGCTGTCTCTATAAGAGTGTTTTATGGACACCAGTATATTCTTACATTAGCTAATTTCATATTCTCAGAATTTTCCAAAATCATGGATCCAAGGGCAGTTTCTCAAGGACTCAGTAGAATTCCATACTTCCTGTTGTGTTACACATCAGAGACTCATACATCAAACTACACATAAAAAAACCCATAGTTTTCTCAGTGAGGTAAATTTAACCAATAATGGAAGAATCTTAACATATCTATATTGTAGTATTAGATTCTGCTTCAATAGGAAATGGCAAGTACAACCGAAATGTTTGAATAAATTCTGACTTTTAAAAATTTCGTTGTGGTCTAGTTTGGAAAATTATTACATGGTGGGATAATAGAACAAACTATAAGAGCTTTAAGACTTTTATAGACCTGTCTACAATCACACAGCCAATATTAAAACATACATTATTTATCTGAATATAATATCTCCTTTGGAACCATGTGCTTTATCTTGTAAATACAGATCTGCTAGAGGTGTAAAATGTGTACATTCTGATAAACTGCACTCTGCTTTGGACGAGTTATGATCTAATAGAAGTTAGGAATAAAAATGGAGCAGATTAAATTTAGGTTGGAATCCAACTTTGTTATGAATTTTTAAAAAGCCATTTTTCACTTGCACCAGAGTGCAGCAGCAAATAAAAAGCAAATGTGGTTACCTAGATGCTTCAGGTAAAATACACTTTGCCCTAAAATATCTAGGTAAATGAGTTAAATATTTGTGCTTTGCTTGAAACTGGAGAACTATCTTTCATTGGGCTTTCCTAGACCAGGTCTCAGAGTGCTCTATGCTAGAGAAGTTTAATGTGTGTAGAAATCTTCTTGGATCTTGTTGAATGCAGATCTGATTCAGTCTTTCTAGGATGAAGCTTGAGATTCTGTATGTCTAGCAAGCTTCCAGGTGATCCCTAAGCTGTTGATCAGGGACTATACTTTGAGTTTCAAGGACAGAGCAAGAGGCCAAGAGACTTCTGTCTCACATTTCATGCCTATGTACAGGAAACAGAGGCCCAGGTAAAAATGCCACAATTCCGCATCAAGTCAGAGCTAAAATTCATCAGTAAGCCATAAAACCTGATGACTAAACCAAGGTTTGGCCAACCGCTATACTCATGGGCCAAATCTGGCCCCAACTGCCCTAGCAAACTGCTTTACATATAGCGGTAACAGAGTAAATATTAAATTGAATTGACATTTCAGGTCTCTTTCTGGTGAGTCTTAATGTGCCAAGTAATCTAGATAAATCCTGTGATGAATTTTATCTTAAAGGTAGATAATATTAAAATTCCTTTTTTAAATATGAACTGTTAACAGAACCAAAATCTCTACTTCATTATGAATGGGCCTTCGTGGAACCTAATTTAAAGTAATAATAAATTTTAAAATTCCTCAAATTTTCTGTTCTTCAGATTTCCTCCCTTTTTACACCTTCTATTTCTTGAGGTCTCAGTAAAGAGCAGATTTTATGGATACATTTAAATGCTGAGATACAATCAAAAAATTTACCTACCAGTTTCTCTATCAACCAAAACAAACACTAAGCTATTTAAACATTAGATTGATTTTTCTGAATTTAAAGCTTTGCCTTATCTGAAATTTTATGCAAGTTAGCGAAAGGTGACTATCTTTAAATTTCAAGTAAATTCCATCAAGCTAAAGTTTGCCTCTGCTCTAACAATGGGATTAAGTCCAGTAATAGGAATGATAAATTGAGAAATGGAATGGTTGCAGTAGATATAAACTGTACCAAAATTGTAACAAAATCTCTACTCATTTTCAACCAAAAATTCCTAGATAATTCCTTAAAAGTAAAAGAGAAAAGCTGAACCACTATCTGAATAATTGCTTCCATTTATATCTGTTTCCTAGTTAATTCACCTTTAATATTTTTTTCCTAAGCCAAAGTTTCTAGTCTTCAATTCAGTAATAGCTGCTTTACTTTTTCTGAAAAGATTAGAGAAATGTCAGAAAACTGAGGACTGATGATGCTTACAGGTTATTTCAAAACTGTTTTTCCATAATAATTAAAATCTTATAAAGAGATCATTTCATTTAAAATTTTCCCAAATCATTTTTGATTCAGATATATCTAAAAAAGTTATCAGAATAATATAACTTATCTGAGGATAAAAGTTCAAAACCATTGCTTTAGCTTCAATAATAATTGCTACTAATTGCTACCAGGAACCGTTACAATAATAACTGTACATTGTCTTTAAATCTCATAGCCATCCTACAAAGTAAGTGTCTTTAACCCCATCTTAGAGCTGAGGAAAGAGATAATGAGGTTAAATAACTGAGGCCATGTAACCGGTAAGTCAGGAAATAGGGAACTAATGTAGCCATTTCTGAGAGACCAGAGCCTGAGCACAGGAAAATCACACAACACAGTTAGCTGGCATCTGGATATCCTTGGAACATCAGCAAAAACAACAGATGTTGAGGATACACCCTCTACTGTCCATGTGTAAGAAATGCTATAGCCTATTACACTGATTTGGAGGCTCTTTAAAATTTTTTTTTCTTTTTCACTTTTTCTTCAGTTGCTGGCAATCTTTCTGCTGCATTGTCTGTGATGGTAGCTGGCTTCTTTGAAATACACAGAAAGCACTTCCATCCAGTCGAGCAGTCTCTTTCAGGCAAAGTTGCCACCATTTCCTCCATGCCCTGTTTCCACCTGGTTCTTCAATACATTTTACTTGGAGTGGCTGAAACTCTGGTCAACCCAGCCTGTGAGTAACAATTTTTTCACCACCTGTTAGAACATACTGAGTCTTCACACAGAACACATCACCTCAAGCAGCTGGAGATCTAGTCCCACCCTGGAGATTTCCCACAATGCTTCAGAACAAGCCTATGCATCACCCTCATTTTTAATTACTCTTTCTTCCTTTACTACATACAGACTATCATTAATTCTACCTGAATATAGATAGAATGGAACGTAAGATTTACTAACTTGGTTAAAGGCAGTGATCATTTGGTCAGATACACGACAGGAGGAAAAAACTTTGCTAAAATCTAGAAGACACCGCTGACATATGCAGATGCAAACTCTCCTCTTCTCCCTTCCCTCTTCCCACCCCGCTCCCTCTCATTCATAGGTAAACTCACATATATACTCCCTCCAAGAATGACATTTCTAATGTACTTTCAGAGTATATAAGTATGCAAAGCAATGAAAATTTGAGTCAATTTTCCAGACAACTCAATGTCTTTAAATTAAATTACACTAAATTAAGTGGGATCACTAGTGTTTCATAAGACAGGTTCAAAGTAACTTTATTAAAAATCAAGCGTTTTCTGGCATATCTAGATGGCTGATATTAATTAAACTAGCCACTTTAAAATTCATCAAAATATTTCTGTGACTTCTTGCACAGAAATGTGTGTGTGTGTGTGTGTGTGTGAGTGTATGTGTGTATTTATCAGTGTGATCTATTGCATCCTATATTTCTATCTTCCTTATTGTTCCCTGTATGGGGAATCCTGATTGTAACTCAAGCACCAATTATACTTTACCAAGATTATTTTTATAACTTCCTAACTCTTCCTACCTTTAACATCTCTCCTGTTCTAGCTCCTCAATTCACAACCTTTTGAGTAATTATCCTAAATGACAATTCTACCATTTCCCTTGTTTAAAATCTTCAATGATTCTATTATCTTCAGTTACTCTTAAATTCCTTAAAGAAATATATATTTTACATATACATACATGCACACATACACATACATATATATGATACTGAAGCAGTTCTTTGAAAAAAGTCAAAATAAAATTGTGTCATTACAGTCATATATATGTTAGACTTCTTTTTTATAATTTTAAATCATTTCATTCCACATGAAATAAAAGGTTTTATGAGATTCTAAAATGTGGCTATCACTGTTTAACACTACAAGGAATACAACAGAAGTATAAAAGAATGCCACCACACAAATATTTGTGACCTCCCTGATGTTTCCAGAAAATTGTTGGACGTAGTCAGCCGGAATTTTATAGGTGGGATGTGAAGAAAGCTAAAGTATGAAGGTGATGAGTGAATACAGTCAGGAAATGCCCAGCCAGCTAAGCAATTGTGGTTCAACACACGAAAGCCAGAGAGGCACTTACACACATAGACTTCAAAAGGCAGATCATGTAGGATAAATCATTTAGTCCACCCATCCCTGATTTACCCGTCTGGAAACTGAGGTCAAACTAAGTCAACTGACTTATCCTCTATAGAGCTCATGGGGTAGGGACCAGAGACTTTGTTTTGATTTACAGCTTTGTCACTTACTGCATGTGTGACCTTAAAAATTCATTTAACCACTAAGCTTCACCTTTTAGATCTTCAAAATGGAAATAATTATAACCCTCCCTTATATCACAGCATCAGCGTAACAGTCAATGGGAATGAAGCCTACTTCTTGAGACTCAAATGGCGTAAAATGTGAAAGGGCGTTTGGAACTGTAAAATCAAGAATCACTCTTCTGGAAGGCAGTACAGCATAGCCGTTAACATCCATGGTCTTAAAGTCAGGCAGATCTGACTTCAAACCCACTTCAGCCACTGACTGGTTGTGTGACCATGGCAAAATTATTCTGCATTTCTGAGCCTTTCTCATCATCTATAAAATGGGGAAGGGATATTGTAAGGACTAAGTGAAATATTTCACGTAAAGGAAAAAAGCAGAGTGTCGAATATATAGACAGCACTCAGTATTAGCAGCAGTAATGTATGCTGTTATTTTTGTTACTATCTTTCGCATAAATTAATAGTCCAAGACTCAGGGCTCAAGGACAGATGTCCGGCTCATAACTCTTTCTACCACACCTACCACAATGTGAGCACCAGGAGACTTGGCAGTGTGGGCAGAATCGTGTCTTTCTCACCAGTCGTCCTAGGTCCCTTTTTTCTCCTTACTTCTCACCTCCAATCCAACAGCAAGTCTTTGTCTTTACTCTGAAATATAATCTAAATCTGGCCCTGTCTCCAAATGAATTGATCTATGAAACACAAACAGACTCAGAGACCTAGAGAACAGATTTGTGGTTGCCAGAGGGGAGGGGGTGGGGGAGGGAAGGACTGGAAGTTTGGGGTTAGCAGATGTAAATTATTACATATAGGATGGATAAACAACAAGGTCCTACTATATAGCACAGGCAACTATATTCAATATCCTGAGATAAACCATAATGGAAAAAAAACCATTAAGAAATGTCTTTATATGTATAACTGAATAAACTTTGCTGTATGGCAGAAATTAATACAACATTGTAAATCAACTGTACTTCACTAAAAATAAAACTTTTTTTTTTTAAACATCTTTATTGGGGTATAATTGCTTTACAGTGGTGTGTTAGTTTCTGCTTTATAACAAAGTGAATCAGTTATACATATACGTATGTTCCCATATGTCTTCCCTCTTGCGTCTCCCTCCCTCCCACTCTCCCTATCCCACCCCTCCAGGCTGTCACAAAGCACCGAGCTAATATCCCTGTGCCTTGCGGCTGCTTCCCCCTAGCTATCTACCTTACTACGTTTGTTAGTGTGTATATGTCCATGACTCTCTCTAGCCCTGTCAAAGCTCACCCTTCCCCCTCCCCATATCCTCAAGTCCGTTCTCCAGTAGGTCTGCGTCTTTATTCCTGTCTTACCCCTAGGTTCTTCATGACATTAAAAATAAAACTTTTAAAAATGAAAAAATGACAAATAAATCTGGCTCTGTCTCACTGTGTCCTTTGCTATCCACCTGGTCTCTAATCCCAATTCCTTTTGGTTTTTTTTTTTTTTGGCCATGCTACAAGGCATGCAAGTTCTTTCCCAACCAGGGATTGAACCCTTGCCCCCTGCATTGGGAGCATGCGGTCTTAACCACTGGACCGCCAGGGAAGTCCTCTAATCTCAATTCTTTCTGAGCCTCCTAACTTATCTCCCTGCTTCCTCTCCTGCCTGAGTCCATTCTCTTAACAGCTATCCTGCTCTTTCTAAAACATCAGTCCTGTCGTTCCCCTGCTTAAAATTCCACAATAGGGATTTGGAGATAAATTTCTTAAATGGTGAGTAAGACTCCACATGATTCAGCCTCCGTGTACTGCTCCAACCACATTCTATAACATTCTTTCCCCTGACTGCTTCACTAGAAATTTGATGATCTTCATTCTGTGTTTCTAAGGTGTCAAACTTATTTTTGCCCCAAGGCCTTTGAACTTCTTCTGTCTAGAATCTCTTTTCTTTCCTCTTCAAGCAGCTGGCTTCTCCTCATTATTGAGTTTTCTCAAAGATCATCTCGTCAGAGAGGATTCCCTGGTCATCCCATCATCTTCCAGTCCATTACCCTGTTCCACCTTTTTTAAAATAACACTTGTGAGAATCAAAAATTTTCTTATCTATAAGTGTATGTTTATTGCCTGCCTCTCACCATGAGAATGTACAGTCTTGAAGTACATTTTCTGATCTTTCTTTTTCATCTCTGTATTCTTCTGTGTTCTGAAAAGTACACATATATGGTAGGTGATAAATAAGTATATTTTATATACTAGATTGAATAAACTAATGAATGGATGAACTCTATAGCCATTTCTATTTGAGTATAATAAAAATATATTATTCAAATTACTGACAGTGTCCTACATTGTTAGCACTGAGAAAGCAAGCACAGTGGATCACTTCCCAAATTTCAGTGGACATTCTTTACCCCGCTAAGTCATGGTGGACATTGAAGATGATCCGCAAGAAAAAAAAAAAAAAGAAAACACTTCAAATTACGTCTTAATCATGGCAGTGTATACCCCAGCTATCTCATAACTTGTTTTTGTTTATTCAAATAATACTGTCTACAATATACCTGACACTGCTCTAGGAACTTAAGACACATCAGCTTAAAAAAAAGAAAGAAAATATTTCTGCCATTGTAGGACTTATATTCTACCAAGGGGAGAAAGGTAATACACAATAAATGTAATAAAAAAATCACAGAGCATGTTAGAAGTTGATGAGTGCTAAAGAAGAAAAGATAGAAAAGTATAAGGGGAATCAGATATGCCAAGTAGGGAGAGAACAGGTTGCAGCATTAAGAGATTGGTCAGGATAGACCCCAGTGAGAGGTGACATTTGAGCAGAGACTTGAAAGAGTTGAGGGAGTCATCCACATGGATATATGTAAAGAATATCATTGCTGGAAAAGCAGTCAGTAAATGCAAAGATGGGAGGTGTGTCTGGCAAGAAAGTGCAAGGAGTCTCATGCAGTTGGAGGAGTGAGGAAGAGAGAAACTGGTAAGAGATGAGTAAAAGTGGCCATTGTAAAGACTACAACTTGGGGCTTCCCTGCTGGTGCAGTGGTTGAGAGTCCGCCTGCCGATGCAGGGGACACGGGTTCGTGTCCGGGTCCGGGAGGATCCCACATGCCGCGGAGCGGCTGGGCCCGTGAGCCATGGCCGCTGAGCCTGTGCGTCCGGAGCCTGTGCTCCGCAACGGGAGAGGCCACATCAGTGAGAGGCCCACGTACCGCAAAAAAAAAAAAAAAAAAAAGACTACAACTTGGGCTCTGAGTGACATGGGAAAAGGAGTGACATGATATTACTCACACTTAAAAAAAAAAGAAAAACCCTCTCTCTGCTGTAGAGAATATACTATAGTGAGGAAAAGGATAGATACATGGAGGTAATAATCTAAGGAAGACAAATGAGTGTCTCAGAACAGGAAGAAGCAGTATAGGTAGTGAGAAATAGTCAAAGTTTAGT